TTTTTCGTCGATCTAACTGTAACTTCTTCTTTTTTTTCACCCGGAAATCGAACCACACACCTGCCTCCACTCAATCACCGACGGAGATCATTATTCCAAACAAGTATACTGATGATCAATCTTACATCATTGGCTAGCGAGCCAAAATAACGGTTAAATTTAGATTACTACCTCTACCGTGCGCCGGCGCATACTACCTAATCTAATTTGAATTTGGAATACTTTAGATTCTAATTTTAAACTACAGACTGCTTTGTTGGCTATGGCAACTTTAAGTGGTTCTAAATTCAATTCCTGATTTAGGAAAGCCGTGATATTAAGCTTTATAGTAACCTACCTTTTGTTCATGGATTCGCCCGCGTTTCCGTGGGATAAAAAGTACCCTACACGTTATTCCGGACCATAATCTATCATCATCAACACCCTATAAGTGCCCACTGCTGACCAAAGCCCTCTTCTCACACGGAGAAGGTTTGAACATTAATCACCACGCTTGCTCAATGCGGGTTGGCGATTTCAAATTTATAGTTAAAATAAAGCTCATAAAATGTAAATTCCACACGAAGACACAGGCTCAAAATTGTATTGTACAGAAATTCCAAAGTCCTTTCCTGTTCACAAACCGCCATATTAAAGCGAGATCGTGCGCTGCGTATGCGCAGGTTTCTTGGAAACTTAATCGATGGCATCATTACTACTGATGAGGGTTCCGGATAAAGTATTCATTCTACTAAACCAGTATATACTGGCCGTCGAATGTTTGGAAAGGTTATATGAAGAGAGACGATGATAAAATGGTATTGTATAGATTCATTTGTGCTTCACCGGCATAATCTGATCTTCGAATATACAGAAAGGTTGTCCAAAGTGAGATCATCATATATTGGTTTTTATAGCTTGATCTGTACGTCATCTTATTTTACAAATCAATTTACTGGTGAATTTGTGTGAGGAATTTTTAATATTACATAACATCACGCCTTTTATCCCCGAAGGGGTAGGCAGAGGTGCACATTATGCCACTGTACAATGTAACACCCACTTTTCACTATCTATGTAATAGGGGGTGAGCCTATTGCCATATACCGGGCACATTTCCAGATTCCGTGCTACTACTGAGATTTTTTAAAATTCCAGCAATACTTTGCCCGACCCGGGAATCAAACCCGAGGCCGATTGCCCGGCAGTCGCACTTGCAACCACTCGACAAACAAGGCAGTGGGGAATTTTTTTGAGAAGTGCGTCGTTGGTTAAGTTGTCATAAGTGCAAACGCAGAGGAAGGAGGAGGAGGAGGAGTGTGTGAGAAACCGATCCTTTTCACGCCCCAGCTGCCGGAGGAGACACTCCGGGCGTCTCCGGCTACCGTAAGTGCGGGTCTGCGGACGGCGAGCAAAGGTAACTGGAATCTAGGCGACTAGAATCAGACCCTTATGAATGTTTTACCAGAACCACGTCACGTTTCACCAGCTCCATAACGAGCCATTGCACCACCACACATGGGGACCAGTAAGGCTGATGCCGATGCAGAACCACGGACTACGTAACGGGTTACCGGGCCTAAAAGCACGAGTAGGAACGGGGTGGTTTTTAGTCAGTAAGAGTCTGATACACTCTCGCTCTCCCAGGGTGAGCCTGGCCGGAGAAGCCATTGGATGCTTTTGCCCCTTCATTTTTTTAGGCGTCTATCTTACAGGATCGGATAAAGTAGTTGTGGTCGTTTTAATTTTACAGAGTGACGTTATCATAAGTTAACTAAAAATTACGAGTTACTCACGTGAAAATACTAAGAAAAACTACTAGTCCTTTCCATCATCGTACCACAAGACAATCGGCGAAGCGTCACCGATTCATGGTAGATGTCCCACCTACACGCACGAAGCGCTTCGTTTCAGGCTTGTGCGTACTGCTAAAGAGTGGAATTCTTTGCCAGAGTCTGTATTTCCTGTAGGGTATAACCTGGGTCTCTTCAAGGCCCGAGTGAATAGGTTGCTTATGGGACGACGTGCTCCATCGTAGACCGCATCATCGCTTGCCATCAGGCGACATAGTGGTCAAGTGCTATAAAATAAAAAAAAGAAACAAACTAGTTTTGAGCCGCAGAGAGGCCTACAGTAGGCTGGGCAACATCGCTGCGACCGCGCTCGCTGCGCATGAGGAAGAACCCCTCTGTGGGTTAAAACTAGTAGAGCTTTTCTCAGTATATTCACGTGAGTAACCCGCGGTTTTTAGTTAATTTAGTATGTCTCACGATATCACAAGTTGTTACATTCTGAGAAAAGGCTACGAAGGAAGTTATTAACGCATTCTTTGAAAGTACCCCACGACCGTGATGTGTAATATTTAGCTTGGGGAGAAACCCACTATTAAAAGTATAATGTCCGAGGTTTTTGGCGCCTTCAAAAAATTATAAGACGAGTAAATTATCTGCCCTCAGCCACGGCAAGGAGGGGTAATTCAATAATGATTTTCACCTGCTAAAATGTTCAGTGTAAGGGACTACTGAAAGAGGATTTCTATAAAAAATCTATGGGAAGAGCTAGTAGCAGGATTTTTGATATATTTAAAGTTTTCGCGTTATCCGCAAATCTCAAAAACCTACAATAAATAGTCATCCATAGTTCCCTATTTACCAGTCCACAGCAACCCATCTATAGCTCTACCTCTTTTTTCCATTATCTACAATAGTCCTACACTAACCGGGGGCTGCCCTTGGGTGCATTTCCATAGTGCATACAGGGATAATCGCCAGTTTGTGTCCCATTGCATTTAGATTAATGTTGTCTAAGGGGCCTCTGCGCAATAGGCCTCGGCCCCTCGTACGCCTCCTAAATGACCAGGACCCATCATTGGTAAAAATATTGGTAAAAATATACATAATAATACGATGATACAATATTTGAATTCATAACATGAACATAATGGGTATTTCCAAATCTAGCACGCATTTGAAGAACACACATTTAATGCAAATTTAATCAGGTATCAATTTAGTGTTGCAGTTGAAAATTATACCATTCTAAAGAGACATAAACAGCACTACAATTTGTAATCTGTTATCTAAACATGTATAACGGGTCATAACAAACAAGATGTTAATAGATTTCGTATAAACAATAACAAAATGAGTAATCTATGTTGTTAAACAAAATCTAAGTAGGCCATTGTTGATAGCCCAGAGACACTGCGAATTACGACGCACTTGACGATATCAGCGTCATGGGTGTGAGCCATGCTTCGGAAGTGTGGGAGAGCTATGCTTCGGCACGAATGAGCCGGCTCGACCGGAGTGATACCACGACCTCGGCCCCAATTACCCCCAAATCCCTGAATAGTCAACAATCCTCAAATTCCTAATCCCAAAAGGCCGGTTACGCACTTGCAACGCCTCTGGTGTTCCAGATGTCCATGGGCGATGCTGATTGGTTACCATCAGGTGATGCGTTAGCTCGGTTACCGGCTTATACGATAAAAAAATACCGGCGTACATGTGTAACTGGACAGTGAACCTCGCTACCATCAGCTGACTGGACATCTACACTACATGAGCTGCTGTTTACATGTGAACATTAGCTCATGACGATACCTAAATACGTGTGTTGCCTGGACAGTGAACCTCGCAAGGGGAAAGTCATGTAATCAATTAAGTTAGTACCAAATTCATCATTCAGTTGCATTAATTTGGGTTTAAAATTGCATGACTAGTACATTATGCAGTTATTTTTTAACGATCATTGAACTATAAACGTTTTTTCTTTTGTTTTAAAGTTCAATATCGCGTGAGTCTTATGTAACTAATGCATAATGCAATGCTTACTACGTAATTTGTGTCGTAAAAACGGTTGAGCTACACTTCTCACGGTCGTTTGTGGATGGGTAACCATTCTAAACTTATTTTTTTCTTTCTCTGCTTTTTAAAAGCAGACACATCTTAAGACAGAGGTGATCTTAATATCCTACTAACTTAATTTTACATGTAAAAGTTTGTCTATATGTTTGTTCCTCAATCACGTCAAAACGGCTGAAGGGATCGGGATGAAATTTGGAACAGGGATAGATTATGGTCTGGAATAACACATAGGCTACTTTTTATACCATAAGAACGCGGGCGAAGCCGCAGGCAGAAGCTAGTAAAAGATATGTGTCTGTCATCCCGGTAAGGCGGACGAAGCCACTGGCCGAAGGTAACAAAGCTTTTAATGGTTGTTTTCAGCAACCGGGGTGGTTGAGTTTGGTCTTAACTAAGAGTCACTGAGTGTGAGGGAGCACTTGAACTAACCTATCGTTAGGTGTTGTATATAAAAGATGATGAAAACAAAAATATGGTAGTCTCGTCTATCTTGGTTTTTTTTTGAGGGGGGAAAATCATACAATGTCTTCTCCCGCCTTGGGTTAGGCGAGAGGGAGTGTCAGACTCTTACTGACTAAAACCACCCCGTTCCTATTCTTGCTCTTCGAGTCGAAGCCTCGGCAACTCGTTAACAGCCATTTTCTATAACCTATCTATACGTACATTTGCTTACTGAGATAGTATTTTGACATATTTTGTATGGAGCTTATGTCAAAATTCTTTAAACGTTTTAGAAAATGGCCATAGGTCTTCCACGGCTCGATATCGCGCCTATTTTAGTTTAGGAGTTCCATAAAACAAATCTTTGTGTGATCCACAGATTGATTGTATGTGAAATTGTATGTTTGTAAATGCCCCCACGATACAGGAGAATATGTCAGTGTGAAGTATTTTTAAAAACAAAAAAAAAACTACGGGAGTTATCGCTTACCATCAGGTGATCAGAGGCCTTAGTACGATATTCTTTTACGCTGTGATTGGTTGGTTCATTGGTGCCGGCCAATCAGAGCACCGAACGCGTACTCGTTACGGTTACTTTAAAAGAAAAAGGAACTCGTACTAAGGCCTCTGCCTGTTTGTTGGCCTTCTGTTCTATAAAGAGTTTGGTGATGAAAATCAACACAAGATTAATAAAAATAAGAAGGTACTCACATCAGGGCATGGTCTGACTTCCTTGTGCTCGTATGCTGCCCACTCGGCTTAGCCTCTTGCCAATAGTCTGAACATGGAACCCAATATTCTGCAACGCCTCGTGGTTCAAAATCTTCCGTCCATCAAATATGTAAGCAGGCTTCATCATCACTTCATAGATTTTCTTAAAGTCTAAAACTTTAAATTCGTCCCATTCCGTACACAAAACTATAGCATGTGCACCCGTTACAGCAGAGTATGCTGTATCATGAATCTCTACGTTTTTCTTCACAATCTCTGGCTCCGAAGTTAAATACGGACTCGTCAGCTCATAGAATATTTGATCAGGCTCCACTTTAGGGTCATAGATGTGGAGTTTGGCTCCCTCATCAAGTAATGTCTTAGAAACATGAATAGCCGGAGACTCCCGTGTGTCTCCTGTGTTCTTCTTAAATGAAAAGCCCAGTATCGCTATATTTTTGTCCGATACCGTGTTGAACAATGATTCAATAACTTTTCTAGTGAATCTTGTTTTCTGATAGTCATTCAAGCTTAATACTTGTTGCCAATATGCGGCTACTTCGGGCAAATTTAAGCATTCACACAGGTAGATTAGGTTCAGAATGTCTTTTTGGAAGCAGCTGCCCCCAAAACCTATGGATGCTTCAAGGAACTTAGGCCCAATACGAGAGTCTCGGCCAACTGCCCTCGCTACCTCAGACACATCTGCACCTGTAGCTTCACAGACCGCTGACAAAGAGTTAATACTTGAGATCCTTTGAGCAAGGAATGCATTTGCAGCTAGTTTAGACAATTCTGAACTCCAAGTGTTAGTTGTAAGGATGTTTTTCGCTGGAATCCAGTGCTCATAGACCCAGCACAACTCTTGTATAGCTTTCTGGCCTTCGGGAGTGTCTTCACCCCCAATTAGCACTCTCTCAGCCTCTACCAAGTCCACTATAGCTGTTCCTTCAGCCAAGAACTCAGGGTTGGACAAGATCTGATACTCCACACCAGGTTTAGTGTTAGCTCGCAGTATTTTCATAATGATTTCAGCGGCCTTCACAGGGACAGTGCTCTTCTCTACAACAATTTTGTTGCTTGTAGCCAGGTCTGCAATCATTCGAGCCGCACTCTCTACATACTTAAGGTCAGCGGCCCTGCCCTTACCGTTACCAAACGTTTTAGTGGGCGTGTTGACAGAAATAAATATTAAATCCGCCTCCCGTATGCCCTTTGCGATGTCAGTAGAAAAAAATAGATTCTTGCCACGACACTGCCTCACTACGTCGTCCAAACCAGGCTCGTATATTGGCAATTTCTCAGAATTCCACTGGTTTATCCTTTCAACTGACTTGTCACACACTGTTACCTGGATATTCGGACATTTCATAGCGATCACACTGCAAGTCGGGCCGCCGACGTAGCCTGCTCCCAAGCAACATATCTTCTCGATAACCATGTTTCTGGACACGCTACACACTCGCAACTGCACACACGAACCACCACGGAAGTATTTAAAACTCCACACAACAGTTTACAATATAAACATTTAATTAATTTGCAATGTTTCACGGACACTGATTCGATCGACGATTTTTATCGTACATAGAGTTTTGAGTGCTTTTTGTTGCGTTTTTGTGATAATATTGTATTTAACACATGTGGCGTCCAAATGTTTGAAAGGTTGAGCTGTAATTACCGCTTGCGCGCCGCTCACAAGCTTTTTATTGTGCGACACCAGACCCCGTGCAATTGGGACCGACTGATGTGCAGTGTCAATGACATTTGATGTAGGGATGGGATATAAACACATTATCGACAACACACGTTATAACGTAAATTAAGATTCTTAGAATACATTATAATCAATTGATAAAAAAAAAATGTGTCGTAAAGATTAATACGTTGATTTGTTAGCACACTTAGATAACATAATTTTTGTATATGTGTATTAAAAGGAAATGGGTTAGAATTGGACTTATGACTTAGAAAAATTGTGAGTATAATATCCTTATCAAATAATAAATTTTATTGCAAGTATTATTGAGGCAATAAAATCTTTACGTCCCTGTTAGGCTATTCTTTATGCAGATTTTAAAGGAAATATAAATCAAAATCTACAGTTTTCAACACAGCACAAGGTCGTAATAGGCTGAGATAAACATAATAGACCAGTTTTCTATCAATAAATATATGCCGTTATTTTTATATTAACGGTATCATCCTGTCTATTGCAATTTCACAGAAGCAACCCATTTAAAATTCATGATGATCAGCCCAACTGTTACAAGCGGTTCTAGCCAACACAACTTACATTTACATTAATTGATATTAGATTAATTTTATTAACATTTGAAATTAGATACAATTTCAATTATTTCATTCAGTGATTTCAAATAAACGGACAGATCACTGGTGCTTAAGTAGATGAATTTTAGAACTGCGATTAGGATTTAGATAAGATAAATAATTAAAATTCGGATCAATGTTTTGAAAGATTATATTGATATGAAATCTGGTATTTTGTGCTATCCAATATGATTGAGTTTATCACTAAGTACATAGTATAAAACAAAGTCGGTATCTGCCTTTTGTTTATCCCTATGTATGCTTAGATCTTTAAAACTACGCAACGGATTTGAATGCGATTTCTTTTAATAGATAAAGTGATTCTTATGGAAGGTTTATATTTATGTATGCTAATACACGCATATTGCACCCGTGCGAAGCCGGCCGGGTCGCTAGTTATTCATAATTAAAAGTTTTAATTACTGAAAATCAATACTGAATTGCCAGAAGACTCGTATCACGAACAACGACGATTTAAAAAAAAATATCAATTAGATTTCAATTAAACTGTTGGCTTTATTTAACTGCTGTCAATTAGAAAAAACGCTTGTTATGCAGCGCGAGCGTGAGCCGGACATACGTTTTGGATTATTTAATCCGAGCATTAATGTCACAATTGAAAAAAATTGACCATAATTAAAATTATGTAGTGTTTTGATTCTCAGTAATTCAGTGAGGTCCACCAGCATACCCTTTAGTCAGCTATATTATTGACTAATTTAATGGAGAAGGTTAGAGTTTGGGTTCTCAAGGGTGTGAAATAAAGTTCCTCACACGATTGACTGTAAAACTGATATATTGATCAACTTAAAACATTAACTATGCAGAAATTACAGTTGCACAAATTTTAATTTTAATTCGCAGTACAAATACGAGGTGCGTGGTGCAGCACGGCACCACGGCACCGGAGCAGGACTCTCTGCTACGTTTTGCTATACGCTAGCATCGAATCGAGAGCGATCAGTGGAATAGGGACGAGGCGTTCCCTATAGTAATGAGCACGTGCATCCGACGCAACTGTTATCGAAGTGCCGACACTGACTTTAGAAGTGAATGTACATCACTAGTAAGTTTAGTGTTGAAATCTTCAGATCGTGTTTACTCTAGTTAAGGGAAAATTACTTATTTATAACGAATTTAACATAATTACAGAATTATATTTATGCATAAAGGCTAACAAGCAAATGGCTTCTTTATTATATGAATCAATCAATTTTTGTTTGATTTCGAATTTTTGTTGAAATAATTAATTTCTTTTAATTACGTGGAATATTTTATCATTTCCTGGCCACCCAACAAACGTCAAAACGAAGGTCTGTTTATGAAGATAGTTACCTATAATTACGGAACATATTTTTATTTACCTTCAAGTAAATTGATCATAAATAGATGGCAATGTGCGATTATAATTATAGCACAATTTTCTAAACTGAATTAATGTTAATAAAGATAAAATCATCAAAATACTGCCGAAAGATAAATTTAATTAACAACTTTTGATAGAAGAGAAATAAATTGATAGCGATCTTTTTAAACGATAAGTTTAATATTGTTTGCGAAATGCGGATTTTTATTATGTTCTAGTGATTTTATCATAATTTTCGGTATTGTAAATTAAAGTTTACTATATTCAATAGAAATGACATTGTGTAGAACGTGTTTATCTAAAAGCGATCTAAAACAATTATTTCCTGATAAGAATCTCGTTAGTTTACGGATAGAACAGCTACATTTAGTGTGCGGTATAAAGGTACGGTAACGTAATCAGTTTTTAAATGATAACAAAAATAACATTAATTTTCAAAGATACGATAACATTCTATAAGGACAAATATTACAGTAAAAGTTACATACAGGGCGCTTTATTACAGTGCATTCTTAAAAAAAAATATTTAAAATTTTATTTATACTAGCTACTCCCACGCAGGTATACCCGCTCTGATCGGCTCCTATTGATCATACTGGGATGTTTTGTCGCCTATGGCTTCCTATTTCGATAAATGGGCTATCCAACACAAAAAGATTTTTTGAAATTGATCCAGTAGTACCTAAGTACAAACAACAATACTCATTAGCTTTGTGTATTAGAATATTTGTTTTTGTTTTACAGATAGATCCAAATGATGGCTTGTCTCAATTAATATGTGATTCCTGTTTAAATCTCTTTAATGGCGCATTAAAATTAAGAGAACTTAGCTTGAAATCCGAAGAATTATTAAAAAAGTCAATAAAAACAATTAAAATTGAATTTGAACCAATTGAGAATGAAATACCAACAAAAGAATTAGAAAAAAATATATCCTTTTCTCTTAATGACCGTAGACAGAACAAAACGGTTGTGAAAAATAGGTTTGATACTTCAAAAAATGAATTTTCAGTACGAATTGAAGATTTTGAATCGAGTAATGATTCTGATTTTATGGAAAATTATTTAATAGAAGATTTAGAGTCTATAAATAGTGATAAAGAGGTCACAGTCCGTATAGAAGACTATGAATCCAGTGACAGTTTGGACCAGGAGTTTAAGAATATAATTAAAACTGAGAACAAAGAATTTAATAAAATTACCTATTGGGACTCGAAAGAGAAAGAGTTATTGGAGAGAGAGAATAGGAAACAGCAGATGAAGGTATAATTATTTCAAATATGTAACTTTTTTATATTTTTTTAATCAATGGTAACAAATCATAGGGGTATTTTAATTTCATATTATAGTGATTTATATAATACATACGTCCTATAAGTCCCATACAGCCTATAAGTCCCCACTGCTGACCAAAGCCCTCTTCTTAAACGGAGAAGGTATGAGCATTAAACTGTCAAATACCAAGCGGTCACCGGTGACCGCAACCTATTGTTCTATAATTGTGTCTGCAAAACCGGTACTCGACGAGTTAATCACCATGCTTGCTCAAAGCCGGTTGGCATTTCCAAACTTATTATCATCATGTTTACCTTGAAATTTGGGCTCATAAATTCTACTTATAGGTTTTGAATCAAGCAAGTATGGTGATTAATGTTCAAACCTTCTCCGTGTCAGAAGAGATCTTTAGTTCAGCAGTAGAAACTTACATGCCATTGATGTGTGTGATGTTTAATATATAGTGCTGGCCTTCTTTTAAAAAATTTAACTCTTTTCATTAATTTTTTTTTTATAGCATAAGCCGGTAAACGAGCTGACGGATCACCTGATGGTAAGCAATCGGCGCCGCCCATGGTCACTCGAAACACCAAGGCGTTACAAGTGCGTTACCGGTCTTTTGGGAATTGGGAATTTGAGGATTGTGAAGGATACGGGGATTCGGGAGACGGGGACTACGGTAATTGGGCCTCCGGTAACCTCATTTACACGACGAAACACAACGCAAGCGTTGTTTCACGTCGATTTTCTGCTCGGCCGTGGTATCACTCCGGTCGAGCCGGCCCATCCGTGCCGAAGCATGGCTCTCCCACACTTGAACTGGTTATTATGTTCCATTTCAGGAGCAGGACGCCAAACTGCTATCTTTGGCTGCACTCCCCTACAGTAACGGTGGTCCCCTAAAATGTACCTTGTGTAACAAAGTGCTTCGTAATGTTCAGAACTTCAAATGTCACGCAAAAACACACTTCGAACCACAGAACGCTTGTGAAGTAAGTATATTTATATAATATTAGCCTTTGCCTGCGATATGCCGTTCTTTTCCATTAGGTTTTCTAAACTATAAGCTAATAACACAAATATTAATAAATTGTGCGCCTTCATCATCATCAGCCCATAAATGCCCACTGCTGAGCAAAGCCTCTTCTCACACGGAGAAGGTTTGAGCGTTAATCACCACGCTTGCTCAATGCGGGTTGGCGATTACAAACTTATAATTAGAAATTATAAGTCCAGGTTTCCTCACGATGTTTTCCTTCACCGTTTGTCAGTGGTGTCTGAATAATCTTAGAAAGTACTTTAACTCAGAAAAAGTCACATTGGTACTTGCCGTTGGTAGGTTTCGAAGTGGTTTCGAAACCGCGCCCTGATGCATGAGAAGCGGGCGTCTTAACCTCCGGGCCATCACGACGTGACATGTGCGCCTTACTAGATTGTGATAGCAAGAAATACATGCATTACAAGGGCACCACAAAAAATAGGCGCAATATATTTCCATATTTCTGTGGTCACAATAAATGCTTATATTTTTTTTAAGAATTCATGCACACACTAATGTACAAGGTGGGCTTAATGCCTGGCATTCTCCTCCAGCCAGACCTTTGGGTGATGCAGAGACAAAAACAATGGTCGATATAAGAAGCAAGTCAACAGAAATACATAAAAAAGGATAGTATAGACTTACATAAAATAAATCCCTCAAAAGTCAAAAGTCAAAGCATTTATTTCAATTAAACCATAATTTGGTACTTTTGAAACGTCAACAAATACAAAATAAATAATAGTCTGTCAGTCAGTCCGTCAGTGAAGCTAGGTGA